TGCAGGCGGGAGGGTACCCGCGGAGCAGACCCGAGTTCCCGCCCTGCCCCGGTCTTCGCTCCTTGGAATTCCGGAAGGTCTTAACCTGGGTACGGGTGACTTTGCATTGTAATAACACATTATGATCGCTTACATAGTATGAGCCTGGTTTGCTCCTCTTTTCTGCTGCACAAGTGCAGCGTCCAGTAGCTGGAAGGTACAGGAGGGCTATTTCAAGTTGTACTGGGAAATACGTAAGGGCACGTATTAGTGCAAAATGTATTAGGTTTCAGGGGATGCAATGTACCTGTCCAGGTGAAGAGTGAAGCGGCAGGCCCTGGTAGGCTCCTCAAATCTCCAGCTGTACTGCCAAGTACCTCTGCTTGTTATTATTCTGCTTTTCAGGAGACACTAGCTCAAATGTTCACTAATTCTGGCAAGCTAGCAATAAGATGTAGGTGTCTATTTAAAAACAAACAAATCACTGTTAACAGAGCTCCTAAGAGTCAATTCCTTCTCACAGCTGCCTTGTCTTCTCAGCTTTTCTCTGCTATTGCTGAGAATGCTGACACCCGCCTGCTTCTTTAGGAAAGAGAGAAGGAAGCACGCACAACTTTGTCTGCTGTGTCTTGCTGACATACACGAAGGCATCCTGTGTTCATTTTCCTCAGGAATTAACACAGGGAAAAGAGTTACATAAGGAACTTGTGGAAGTCCAAGGGGAAATCCAGCTGTTCTGGGGTGTCTGTTGTTGTAGTACTTTAATTGCTAAAAGATGAACAAAAAAGCCTGATGAACTAATCAAGCATGTGTGGTTTTGGGTTGCCTCAGAGTTCCAGGATTTTAGCACCAAAAAAGGAAGAGCTTTTCCTGCTTTCAGGATATTTCTGCAGTCTCAATTCCATGTAAGAGTCTATGAGCATAATGAACTGTGAGTATCCTGTAGCATCTCCTGTGTCTTGTACAACTTCTGTCTTATATGGTTGTCTAATTTATTCTGAATATGTGGGAGTTCTAAAACATCCAACCCTCTGTCCAGATGGACAGAAAGAGCCACGTGCTTTCCAAATGAAAGGAACAAAGTCAACCTTTTTTCCTAAACCTTGCCTTAGGACAGCAGCCAGAAAAGTAACGTAGGTCTGTGTTGACCTTTTAATTCTCGAGAATGTAATTTGAAGCTCTTGTAAATCTTCAAATGCTTGTAATGTAATTTAGGCACTTCTTGACAATGTAATTATGTGTTACTGAAGCTATTTACTCTTAACGAAGGAGTCTGGAAAATTCAGATGTAAATTTCGTAGTTGCTATCATAGAGAATTAATTGGTAGAGGTACCTGGAAATAAATTCTTAGAAAATTTTTTTTTTTTTCCCCTCTCTTTTCAGCTGTGAAGCACAGTGCCCTGTGATACTTATTTTGCTGGTTCTTTTTGTTGGAGGATGGCTGCTGTACTCTGTGAGAATTGTTCTGGCCAGTACCATACCACGCAGGTCAACCAGCCTCTTGAGTTCAGCAGCATGTTGCTTCTCATCATGTTTGGGAAAGTGCTCCTTGATTTCTTCATGTTGCAAGTGAAGCAAAAAGATGCGAAAGCTAGTTTCATGGGATACTTTTGTGTGTCACTGGCACTCCTGGATTTCACACTGCTGCTGAGTATATCCTTCATTTTCTATTTTGAGGACTTTGCACTCTGGGGTGTGCGATTTACAAAGTACCACATCTGCCTGTTCACTCAGATAATTTCTCTTACCTATGGTACCTTGCATTACCCAGTGTATCTTGTGGCCAGCATGGATTACTTCATGACTATAGCCCAAGCCTCTCGATCTCCTAGAAGAGCTCACATATTACTTTATGTATTTGCCGTGGGTTTTATATGGATTTCAGTTTTTTTTTATATTCTGAAAGCTCCCACAACTTACGAAGAACTAGAAATTCAGAACCGTTTTTCTTCTTATCAGTGTCCCCTCTATGCCAGCTTGCAGAACTACTCAGTCTCCTGTGCCATGGTGCTTCTCATAGGCGTGGCTCTCCTGGCATGTTGGAAGGAAGTTATAACCATGCTGCTGTCCATCAGAGTGATTTCCTTCGCCAGTCAGCCCGTTCTGATGTTCTCTTATATGTCTAACAACAGCACTTGCTTTAAGCGGCAGCTTCTGCCCCGACTCCTCATCTGTTTTCTTGGCACTTGGGCGCCTTTTGTTCTTCTTCAGATCATCATTTTGTTTCTGGGTGCTCAGATTCCAGCCTACATAGAGATGAACGTCCCTTGGCTGTACTTCATCAACAGCTTTCTCATCGCCGTCGCATACTGGTGTTGCTGTCATGATGTTGAATTGACAGAGGAGATGTGGTCTACAGACCCATTTGTCAGCTGGAAATTCTGCTTTATGCCATTTAACAATGAAACCCCAGAGCCAGCTGATAAGCCAGGCACAGTAATTGTTATCTGTTAATAAGCTGCTGACCAAAAAGACTGCAAATAAGTGCCGGGCGACAGAAGCGGGTGTGCTGACGTTCTGTGATCGTGTCCTTACAGATAATACAAGGAAACCTCTCCAGAGTTACTGCGCATAGAGGAAGGTCCAGCACCCACCCCTGTGACAATGAATATTTCATGAGAGGGTGGGACACAGCACACTCCACGCCAGGCTCCTGTGGGCAGCAAGCAATGGCTACTCCAGAGAATTTAACTTGAAAGTATGGTTTTAAAAGACCACTACTTAAAACAACCAACCAACCAACAAAAACCCACCCTAAAGACTACAAACCAAGATCTCAGTTAAACCTTATGTTTAGGACCAGAGTTTTACACTTGCTTTAAATGGAATGAGCTCAGGTTTTATAGAATGAAATGCAATAAATTCTTCTTCAGAGCTGGAGCCCTTTTACCAGTTATGTGCACTGCTAAAGGCTCAAACAACTTCTCTTGGTTTTGTGAAGTGTATTTTCTTGTATTTTCCTTTTTCTCAGTTTAAGTTAAAGGTTGTTGTCTGTTTAATTAGAAACAAATTGGTTTAGTTCATGTAAAGCTGTATCTCCTACAGAAATACAAAATGTGTTTATATTGTACAAATACAGTGCAAGATGTGCAGTTTCCACTACTACAGGTGGTGGTGATGGTTCATTCTTTGCTACTGCTCCTCTGATGTATATATGTATACAATAAAAAAATAATTTAGCCAGAGCAATAAGTAACAAGGTTAGCTGCTATACGTAAATACATGCTCAAGGTTAAAGAATGGCTTAAATTAAGATATAATTTATTTTGAAGCCAACATTAAATTCAATTACTTAAATTTTAAAGTAAAGTGGTATTGCTTCAGTAGGGGAAGAACTAGTCAGGCTTCTAGCAAAAGTACTCTCTTAAACTTGAAGTTCTTAACAGTTTGATGAAGATCTTGATTTAATTTTGTAGAATAGAAAGAACTGGTACACAACCAAAGCAGCCAAATGGAAGTAACATTTATTTCTGAAGCACTGAACTCACAATACAATGTTGTATTGAAATAGAAACTTTATGTGAGTAAATGATGCTGTTGATTGGTTAATCATTCACCCACAGGGAACGCTGATCTCACACAAGAATACTCGTTAAGAAAAATCTGCAGATAACAAAAGGTGCAATTACAAGCAAGTTTAAGCAGCATAGTATAAGGTGCTTTGTTTCAGCATTTGTATGAGGAATTTACCCATTAACAGACAGATTAAAGAAATTTCACTTCTACTGAAAACACCAAATGAGAGAATCTAAAATTCATTCACATGCTAGTTGGCAACAGGACAGTGCTTTTTTAAAAAAAAAAAAAAAAAGATTCACAAAGTGACGATCGTATTTTTTTACATAGATCACTGTGTGCTCAGATCACTGTGTGCTCTTCAACTGTAAAATTTCATTTTTGGGTTATCATTTACATTATTATATATCAATTATAGACAGATTTAATTGCAGAATTTAATGCTGCATGAGCTAAAATTTCATGTAAAAGAATATTCTGGTATATCACTTGGTAAGAATAGACAGTCACATCTCAGTCATATATTACTCTTACATTTCTGCAATATATCAAAGTCCAATTATCACTCTGATTTATTACTTCACTCCACATAGTGCTTCACCCACAGTGTGTGCTAAATTTCTTTGAGCTTTTCAGTGATGTTATCAAAAGGACACAAGCCTTTTTAAGCTGCAGAAAATGGTTTTGGGGAAAACCTGTTAAAAAAGCCATCAAAAGGACAGCAAATGATCACAAACTGAATTTTAGAAGTAGTGCAATAAGAGGAGGCAATGCTTCACGACACAGTCTGAAGTGTTTGGCACAACAAATTATTTCATTCCTTATGCTGGAAAGCGTATTTGGAGGAAACTCTGCTTCCATTTTAGAAGTAGGAAAGCACATACAACATTAACTTGAAAAACAGCCTTAAGCAATCACTCCCTGCTCTCTCAAATTGGAATCGCTGCTATTTAGTGCTTGAGATGCTGTAGGATAAACTCCGTCCAAACGCATATATTTTTTTGACATATTATTTCTTCAGGTTTTATATAAACTGGACACCCACTGAAATAGAGTTGACAAAATTGTTACAAAACCTAATTCTACTTAAAAACCTGCAAATATCTCAAATATAGCAATGCACCAGGCATTTCAGAAGATCGTGAAATAACTACACCCTACAGATGTGGCAGGCAAGGGAAAATTCCTAGTTTAAAACTCATTTAACACCACATGAAGGCAAAGTTATTATCAAGAAAGTACATTTGAGATGCTTCTGCTCTGTGTGGTTAGTCTCACCCTTCTGATTCATTAGCATATAGAGAACTGGAACAGCAAGAAGAAGTTGGGTAAGGCTGCTGACATACTTTATCAGTGTGGTTCAGCTTCTCAACCCGTAATTAAAGTTTACACAACCCCCTCTCTCCCTGCGTGGCAGAATTCCCGTAGTTGCTGCAGTGCTTTTAAAGCCTTTTTTTTTTTTTTTTACAGGCAAGCCGCAACATGCAGCCAAAGCAAATACTGACACACTGATGTGACATCGCTGTGTTACTATCCAATTTGTTCTCTGTGCTCTCTGGGGAACAGTGCCAGAGAGCATCAACCTTCAGGCTGTTGCTGCACCCACTGAGTAGGTAACAGTGGCACTACAGGTCTCCACACAGCACCTGACTGTGGCATCTGGCTTGCTCAGTAAGTTTAAAATACATTAATAGTAGCTTTCTTTGTAAGCCCACTTTTATCCCTGGCTTTTTACAGAGGGAGATGCCAGTTGTGAAGTGAGCTTTATCCTGTTACCTTCCTAATGACAAAGTTTTTCCTTCTTCTCTGGTGCTTCTGGGAAGTCCCAATGCTGAACTGTGAGTGCAACCATAGAACCATAAGCCACTGCTTGGCAGAGCACAGTTACAGTGTCACTGCCAGACAGACAGCGAGAGCAGAGGAGCTGTCCTGGGAAGGTGGCAATATCAGAGGCAACAACTTTCAGGCAATTGCTACTCCAGCTCCTCTGCACACTACACTTGTGCTGTGACAGCAACTAACAGCCTTATACCATGCAAATACTTCACAGTCTTTAACTCTTATAGGATTATTTGATATTAATGGTTGCATCGGCTCAAGTGTTAACCCTTTATGATATATTCGGTACTTTCCTCATATAAAGAAACCCTTAAAAATCAACATTGATTTTAATGAGACATTATATGTGTTTCTAGCAGTAATTGGCACTCATGAATAAAACTCTTCCTTCTCTCCTGATCAGTACTGGTTTGCCAAACCTAACACCAAGACTACTTTAAAAAGGAAGCTAGGGGTGCAGAACACCTCGTTGTTCTTTCAAACATCAGCTTTGCAAAAAGCTGCCCAAGGATGGCAACATCTGGCTGCCAATACACTGGTCAGAGGCAGCAGAGGACAACACAAGTCTTCCCACAGGCTGACCAGACCACACACAGCAGATATGCCTCGTGAATCAATTATATTTGTGCTTCTAGCCCAATCCCATCACCAGCAAGGACACCCTGATTGAGTACCTAGGAGCGACACTGAAAGCCTTCCACCAAGCCTACATAACAACACAGTGCTTTTTATGCACAACTACAATGCTCCTTAAGCATTATGTATTGCGCTTAAATTATGTTTACGATTGCTGTTCTATGAAAGTACAATTGTGTTCAACTTATAGTTCTTCCTGGATGGAAAAAAACCCCTTTAGGTCTCTTTTTTCTAGCTCCTTACTGCACACAGTAATTTTGGATGATTCAGCAGGCAGCTAATACATGCTGGAAGTTTAACATTTTTTAACTTGAAATCTGTTTCTAACACTGACTCCCAGAACTGTGCTTTGGAGAAGTTAGATTAACAGTCACACAAGCTAAACCATAAGCTTACTACACAGCCTCAATTGCAAGCGTATTCACATCTTTGAATTCCGCTTTTAACTTCCACTTGGCTGTAAGAGGTGAGTGAATCATAGGCACAGCCTCCAAGTGCACCAGCAGGCGTGTTCCACAAACCCACACGGCAGCTTCAGACAGGGACCTTCAATAAAAGGGAAGTGCCAACCACGAGACCAGGGGCCGAGCAGGACGCAAGGTGCTCCAGCCAACACTGCTGACACCCAACAGGGCAAAAAGCACGTTTAGAAATCTGTGTGGAGAAGGAAATGGCACAGGAGAGAGCTCCTCCCAGTTGTGGAGATGGCAGAACCAAATCAGCCCGATTCAGATGGATTTGAGTAACTGCTAACTGGTTTTGTGGCAGCCTAGGTCCTGGGCTTGGAACCCACACGAGGGACAACTTTCTGAGAAAGCAGACACAGTATCTACACAGCAGGCACTTGTCTGTACCATAATTATCATCTCAGTTAAATGTCACTATTTGCAAAGCCATCCAGTGGATGTAACAACATAGAACCAATAGGGTTTAAATAAATTCTTATGAGAAAAGGCAAATTCCTTTAAAATGAAGTTAATTTAGGCTTAGCTTAAATAACCTAAGCACCGAGTTGAAATTTTTCTCTTCACAATATTTCCTGTCTGAAACTACAGCTCACTGTACAAGAGTGCCTTAAAAATTAATTCACTGTGAGCAATTTTTACCACCTTATATTGAAATTACACATTTATAGCTCTGTTCATACCTGTTCCCCTCAGCATTCAACAGAAACACAGTATTAAACCCAAAATACTTTAAAATGTTAGTTCTTCTCCATCTCTAATAAACTAATTTGGGTGAAAGTTAAAGTAGTATCCTAGACTGATTCTTTTGCAGAGTCATTATCTGCAGTCTAGGACAACGGATGAGTACAAGTCTGGTTAAGGACATCTATACACATGTAAATATTTGCTAACAGCATGTCTCTATGTAATACTGGTAAGAAAATAGCCCTGAAAGCTTTTATACACTTGCTTAATTCTTATATGAATAGTGCCAAAACAATGAGAAGAACTACTCAT